GATAAAGTAATCATTATTATTTGGACGGACTTTTGAAATGCTCTCGAGTGCTCCGGGTGAAACTTTTGCCCCGCCGCAGGCGCCCTTCCCTTCAGACAGACCTCCAGAAACCGCCTCCGCGGAAGTGGCGCCTCCGGTGTCTAACATGATTGTTGACTTGTAACAACCCTTTACAGCTGGCATAACAGATTGTATGGCTGGAGATGATGTGTAAAGTGTATATAAGTATAAATAGCGAGAGCCGTCCATAATTGGGCTATCTTTGGACAATCATTCTTCTGTAAGCACTTTACTCTTTAGATAGAAATAACATAGCTCAATTACTATTCTCCCAAACTTCGTCTTCTACCTTCTTCTCCCTATCTTCGCCAGATATCCCACATCCAGGACCTTACAAAGTGGTATCTGAGCTCTGAAATCTGGCAAATGGCGACGCACACATCCCGCATCGTTGAGTTGGAGTCGCAGATGGCGGAGGTCTGGTAGCAGATGGATTCTCAGCACACCGACCTCAAAGACGCCATTGCTGCTCTCGCCTCTTCGACGAAAGAGAATTTGGAAGCTATCACGACTTCGTTGTCACATCTTCGGGAGAAATCACCGGTCCGAGCTCAGCACTACGCCAACCACGAGCCTTTCTTCGATAATCAACAATTTCGACCTCAACAGCTGCGGCCGACGCTCCTGGATCACTACCCCAAACTCGAGTTTTCTCACTTCTCCGGCGCCGAGCCTTTTGCTTGGGTGAGCCGGTGCAACAAACTCTTTCATCTCTATTCAATTCCGGAGGAGCAGAAGGTTGATTTGGTTTCGTATTACTTAGAAGGTCGTGCTTTCACATGGTTTGAGGGGTGGTCTTTCCATCGTTTCCCCTTGATTTGGGGGCAGTTCGTCGAGGAACTGTTCCACCAGTTTGGCAATCAAGAGCAGTTGAATGTGGTGGATGCCTTCAATCAGCTACGCCAGACGAGTATGGTTGCTTGTTACCAGGAGGAATTCGAGGAACTTCGATCGAGGATGCTTCGTCTAAATTCGGAACTCAATGAACAATATTTCATCCTTAGTTTCTTGGACGGATTGGATGGAGAGATTTAGCCTTGTGTTCAGGTGTTGAATCCTCCGACGCTCGCGTGTGCCTTCTACCAAGCACGTTTGGAGGAATAAGCAATTGACGCTCGAAAACGCAAGTCTCGTCAGACAGTTCCTTCCCCTCGTTGGCCCAGTACTTCGCCGGCGCCGTCGACCAAACCGTGGCTAAGAGACTCTCCTTCCTCTTCTTCTCAGGATCGAGGTGCCGTTCCAAGGGGGCAGGGTCTCTGTTACAAATGTGGCGATAAATACTTTCATGGCCACGTTTGTGCTGGTAAGAACAAGATTCACTCGCTGCAAGCTGAGGATTCTATCCTGTACACCGGAGAGGAGGAGCAGGATGACGAGTTTCTGGATGCAGAGCTGGAAGTTACATTGCAGGCTATGGGAACTGGGTATATTGGGAATTCGTTGCTCATTCCAGCTACTGCAGGGCAGCGGGAGGTCACGGTACTCATCGATACAAGTAGCTGACACACATTCTTGAATAGCATTAGGGCTGAAGAATTAAACTATAGAACCGAGACCGTAGCTCCTATGCGTGTGAAGGTTGCTAGTGGACACACACTGTTGAGTAACTCGGTATGTAAAGGCTTTAGCTGGAAAATGCAGGGACAGGAGTTTGATTTTGATGTGCGTACCTTAGATTTACCAGCTCACGATCTCGTGTTGGGTTGGGATTGGTTGGAGACTGTTAGTCCCTTCCAAGTGGATTTGAAGAAAAGGCAGCTAGCCTTTGAATGGAAAGGTCGTACCTTGACGTTACAAGGACTGACCAAGGATGGCCAATCTAAGGTGATCTTGGGCTGGCATTTCCAGCAGCTGCTCAAGAAATCTTCTGCTCATATGACAGGTGTTGTGTTCTCCATGGAAACCGTGTCTGTTCCCTCTCCTACACCCACTTTTCTGCAACCCCTTCTTACACAGTTTGCAGACGTATTTGCTACCCCCACGTCCCTCCCTCCTGCTCGTGCATTTGACCACACCATTCCCCTATTACCTAATTCCAAGCCCATTAACATGAGACCTTACAGGTTCCCACACCATCAGAAGGCTGTAGCTGAAAACCTGGTAGATGAAATGTTGCAATCCGAGTTCATTCAGGAGAGCCACAACCTTACGCGTCTCCTGTCCTTCTCATTGGGGAAAAAGATTGTAGCTGGCCTTTTTGTGTGGATTACAGGGAATTGAATGCTGCAACTATTAAGGACCAGTTCCCTATTACACATATTGAAGATTTGTTGGATGAGTTACATGGTTCAGTGATGTTTTCGAAGTTAGATCTCAGGGTTGGTTATCATCAGATCCGAATGAATCCGGCAGATCAGTACAAGACGGCTTTTCGGACACATCAAGGCCATTATGAGTTCAGGGTGATGCCGTTTGGCCTCACCAATGCTCCAGCCACCTTACAGTCACTTGTGAACCATGTTTTCGGTAAATATCTGCGGAAGTTCATACTGGTTTTCTTTGACGACATACTTGTGTACAACAAATCTGCAGCCGACCATTTCCAGCACCTCACTCTTACTTTACAGCTGCTGCGGGAACACCAGTTGTATGCCAAGGAGAGCTAATGTTCATTTGGGCAGTCCACCATTGAGTATTTGGGGCACGCCATTAGTCAGAAGGGGGTTTCAACAGATCAAGGTAAAGTTGCTGCTATGAAAGCTTGGCCGAGACCTACTTCAGTCAAAGGGTTGAGGGGTTTCCTTGGGCTGACAGGATATTATCGCAAATTTATTCGCAATTACGGAACTATCAGTCGGCCACTGAGAGAATTGTTGAAGAAGAACGGGTTTCAGTGGACTGTAGGGGCAGAAGAAGCATTCACAGCTTTAAAATTTGCTATGAGTCAAGCTCCAGTCTTGGCCCTGCCAGACTTCACTCAACAATTCACGTTGGAGACGGATGCGTGTGGTAAGGGTGTGGGAGCTGTGTTATCCCAAAATGGGTGACCCTTGGCTTATTACAGCAAGGCTCTAGGCATGCGAAACCAAGGTTTGATCACCTACGAAAAGGAATACCTGGTTGTGCTTATGGCGGTGGATCACTGGAGGCATTATTTGGAAGGTTGGCAGTTCACCATTGTTACGGATCATGAAAGTCTGAAATTTCTTCTCGGTCAGAAGGTTCATACAGCTATACAGAAAAAGGGCTCGTCAAGCTTATGGGCCTTGATTTCTAGATCAAATATCGCAAAGTAAGGTAAAACGGGGCTGTTGATGCCTTGTCACGTGTCTTTGATGATGGGCTTGAGAGTAGCACTTGCAATGCTTTGACTTCGGTACTCCCCGAGTGGCTTGTAGAGATTGAACAGACGTATGAAAATGATACAGAGGTGCAGGACTTGATAGCAGCAGCTGCAGCAAACCCTTGTGGTCCGTCTTTGTGGTCATTTTCAGCAGGTATTTTACGTTATAGAGGGGTGATTGTAGTGGGTTCCTCAGGGTACCTACGCCCCAAATTACTCCATTTATTCCATTCCTCGCCGGTTGGGGGCCATTCTGGTGCTCAAGGGACTTACCAGCGACTCAAATCATACTTCTATTGGAGAGGCATGAAGTCTGCAGTAGCTAAATGGGTCGCTGAGTGTGAGGTCTGCCAGCGCTGCAAAACGGAGACTGTCGCTTCGCCGAGCCTGCTCCAACCCTTGCCCATTCCTACACGAGCCTGGCGCAATCTGAGTATGGATTTTGTTGAAGGACTTCCAGTGTCAAAAGGGAAACAGGTTCTGTTAGTGGTGGTAGATAGATTCACCAAGTCGGCTCATTTCTTCGCACTCAATCACCCTTACACTACTTCGGAGGTTTCCCTAATCTTCTTTGACGCAGTCTTTAAACACCACGGCATGCCTGCTACCATTGTCTGCGACAGGGATTCAACCTTCATGGGTTCATTCTGGAGCGAGTTCTTTCGACTTCAGCATACAAACCTTCACTATTCAACGGCGTACCACCCGCAGAAGGATGGCCAAACTAAATGCGTCAACCGCTGTCTCGAAGGCTATCTCAGATGTATGACGTTTCACCGACCTCACGACTGGACAGACTGGCTAACATTAGCTGAATGGTGCTATAACACCCATTTCCACATTAGCTTGCAGATGTCCCCTTTTGAAGCCCTGTATGGCTTCCCCCCTTCCTTCTTTGGCATTGGTCTAGTTCTGTCTACTTCGGTGGGAGCAGTAGAAGACAGGGTGTCAAAGCAGCATCAACTGGTGCAGCTACTCACTCATAACATCATCAACGCTCAGAACCGCCAAAAGCAATACGCTGATCGCCGTCGTTCAGAACGTGTATTGCAGGTGAATGATTGGGTATATCTCAGGCTGCAACCATACCGAAAAGGATCAGTGGTTGGGAGGCATGGTAATAAACTTGAAGCTCGATACTTCGGGCCCTTCAAGATACTCGCCAAAGTGGGAGATGTGGCGTACAGGCTAGCTCTTCCTATGGGATCCAAGATCCACCCTGTATTCCACGTTTCTCAACTCAAGTTTTGCAGGTCCACCGTTCCTCCTGCTTCACTACAGCTACCTGCGACGGACGACAATGGTTCCTTGAAGATTGCTCCAGCTCAGATTTTGGCCAGGCGCTTCGTGCAGGAAGGCAACCGAGCTGTGACGCAAAAACTGGTTCAATGGACCCATCAGGTGCCTGAGGATGCAACGTGGGAAGAGCTTTCAACTTTCAAAACCATGTTCCTTCATTTCCAGCTTAACTCCAGCTTGAGGACAAGCTGTTGCTGAAGGGGGCGGGTTTGTAACAACCCTTTACAGCTGGCATAACGGATTGTATGGCTGGAGATGATGTGTAAAGTGTATAAAAGTATAAATAGCGAGAGCCGTCCATAATTGGGATATCTTTGGACAATCATTCTTATATAAGCACTTTACTCTTTAGATAGAAATAACATAGCTCAATTACTATTCTCCCAAACTTCATCTTCTACCTTCTTCTCCCTATCTTCGCCAGATATCCCCCATCCAGGACCTTACATGACTCATCGCCATCCACTTCGGTGGCGAATCGACTGGTTTTGAATCAAAGTTCGAATAAGACCGAGCAACCGTTCACATATGCCAAGGCGGTCATAGGCTTACAATGTCTGCAACCAACTCCGCTGTGTGCAACAACTTGGACCCCGGTGGGCGAGCACGACCTGATTCAGGGGGGGGGGGGGAACGATGGCGAACCAGCCCTGAATATTTCTGCAGATTTCAAGCACAAGATCTGTGCCCCGTGGCAGCGCTCCCTGGTGGTGCGATTACTCGGAACCAAAATTGGATTTACGACGCTCTGTTCCAGGCTTCGCAAGTTGTGGAAACCAACAGGAACGTTGGAGATTCGGGACCTTAACTACGACTGCTACTTGGTTAAGTTGGATAATGAGCAAGATTATTTTCGGGCACTGACAGAGGGACCATGGATGATTTTCGATCACTACTTGGTGGTACAATAGTGGTCTCCTAGCTTCAAGGTGTCTGATCCGCTTCCGAAAACCATGATAGTCTGGGCACAACTTCCAGCTCTTAAGATTCATTTCTACCACATGGAAGTACTCACGACTTTGGGGAATCTGATCGGTAGAACCATTAAGTTGGACTACAACACGGTGAACCAAGAACGGGCAAAATTCGCTCGCATCGCGGTTGAAGTGGACCTGTCTAAACATCTCGTGCCCCGAATTTGGTTAGACGAATGTTGGCAGAGAGTGGAATACGAAAATCTTCCTCAGGTATGCTTTCACTGTGGGAAGATTGGGCAGAATACCGAGTCATGCCCACAACTCCGGCCAACGTCTTTGCCAAGGGCCAGGACTATCTCCGCCGGAACCACGTCGGAAACCTCACCGGCAAGCCTGCTGGAGGAAAATCCCGGGTTTGGACCTTGGATGTTGGTCAGCCGGAAATCAAGGCGTGGATCTCGGGAAGTGCAGAAGAGAGGGAATTCAGAGCCCGAAATGGCGCATGGTACACATGGAAATCCGACTAAAAAATGGAAAGGGGGGGGGGGGGGGGTTGTGGTTATCAGGGAAAGAGAGGATTTGGTGCCCCAATTGCCGAAACCCACTAGCAGCTCTCCCCAATGGGGGGTTTTGCACGAAAAAAGGGAAACAACGGGAAGAAAGGGAATGAAGAATCGAGAAAAGGAAAGGAAAAAATGAACGTGGATGTCATGGCAACCAAATGGGTTTTGGGGCCAGAGCCGGCCCGTCAACGGACCCCGTTAAGTGGGCCGAAGATAAGGGACGAACATGAGAAGCCTCAACCTCGGGGGTTCAAACACAGAGCGCCGAACACCCGGCCCCAAGGAATTTCAACAGGTCGAGGAACCAGTTGGCAAAAAGACGTAGCGGGGATCGCTGTCGACGACCACCAGAATGAAGAAGAATAAGAAAACAAGGGATCATAGCCGGAAGGGATCGCCGACCAAGATGACTCTGATCAGGACCCTTCAGTGCTGGTCACCTATGAAAGAGAAAAAGGCGAAACCTAGAGCTCGCCTCGCCTCGCTAACTCTTCAAGAAATCAGTGCCTGGACAAACGAGAATGGGAAGATTGCTCCAAGCTTGTCTCTTGAATAGGATAGAGCGACAACAACCACCAATCAGGAAATGGCTCTTCCTTTGCCGAGCGTGAAGCATGGCTAGTGACTCACTTCTACTGTCACCCTAGGAATTGGCCAAGTGGAACCACTTCCTAAAGCGTAGTATAGCGGGTTTAGGTTTAATTATCAACCCGGGTCCTAGATTTGATGACTACTCAGTGAATTCTTGTTATCTAGCAATGAAACTTTAATGCAAGTCTAAGCTAACAAACTAACAAAGCAAGTAAACTGTTGTATTCAGGTTAAGAGAGGTCACCCGGATATGGTTCCCCCTAGACTACAGTTAAGCCGGATTGTAATTACCAAGTTCAGTTTCTATGATAGTTATATTGCGGAAGGTTCTTAAACAGCCTGAAGTCTCGACTAAAGGTCTTCAGACCCTCTCAATCTGAGTCTCTAGTGGGCGACTAACCTCCACCGGAGTAAACAGATTGAGGCCTTAACAAACAAAACCTCCACTACCGGAGTAAATCCGGTACAGAATAGTGAGTTGGCTCCTTGACTAAAGTCACCAACTCCCTACCTTCAATCAAGGATGCTCTATCAACCTAGGCAGATATTCTCATTATAGGTTAAAGCAGAAACAACAGGAATTTGATCAGGATTCAAGTCATTCAATCATTCAAACCTCAATTGAACATAATCAAATCATGGATTCAGTACTTGGGTTCATACAATCAAAGCCTAACATACAAATCTAGGGTTCTCCATACCCAGATGAATGGGAGAACTACTCCATGGAGAAAGAAGCAAAAGCAGAATCAGACGCGGAATTCATACTGTGAAGGATGGATTCCTGCTCCTGGACGTTGATCGGCACTTCTCCAAGCTCAAAGCGGCCTCCAATGGTGTTTAAGATCAAGCTAGGGCAATTGGAGACTCTTGTTCGTCACTTTCTCTCTCTAGGAATCGTTCTGTCTCTCTAAAACTCGAATCCCCTTCTGTTTGGCTGAAAATCTGCTTAAAAGCAGAAAATCCCGACTCACACGGGCAGACCGCACGGCCGTGTGGCTCACCCAGTTGCCCGTGCGAGTCAAAACGCAGCGCATCAATTAGTTGAATTCCAGGCTTCTTGCACGGCCAGGGTCGCACGGCCGTGCAGCTCACCTTGCACGGCCGTGCAGATTTTCTGCTCTGCCCGTGTTTGCTCTCGCACAATCCCACACGGCCAAATTGGTCACTTGCACGGCCGTGCATGTTGTGGGTGTACACGTGCAGCTTCCTTTGTGACTTGCCTCGCGCCCGATCTTCGCCCAATCAACCCCGAACTCGCTCCTAAACCTTCATTCACTTGCCAGGACCTGAAATATCACAAACAAGCACAACCTAGCGTGAAATCGGTCTAAAACACGAGAAACCACATCTCAAACGGTGTAAGAACAGGGGTGAAAACATGTGTAATTAATGGTCTATCAAACTCCCCAACACTTAACCGTTTGCTTGTCCCCAAGCAAACCTAACTCAAACCAATGCAACTCTCCAGACCTCTATAGCAACAAACAACCCAGATCGTAAGTAGAGGACTTCCTAGATCATTTAGCAGCTTACGAGGTCAACCGACGCACAAGTCATCTCATAGCTCCTTCGGCGAGAGCACTAGTATCGAGTCGGCATCATGGCAAATAGTGAACAGAGGACAAATGAATTGTGGATGAAGAGATTCTCAAAAACAAAGGATCATGGACTCACATTTTTCAAGGTGCTCTATTTTCTTCTTGAAGATGGTTGGAACCCCTTTTCTTTCTGTTTTGCTTGTTTTCTGTTATTTTTTTATTCTCTTTTTTTTTTCAAGGGTCCCAACCTGCTCTTACCGGCCATGCCAGGAGCGGATGTTTCGAGCCTCGTGCGGGGGAAAGACATGTAAGGGGGCGGGAGGTAGTAGGTGAAAATTGGGAACGGATTCCCGTCTCCCCTTAAACACTTTTGCCCTATTCGCACGGGAGACGTTATTTTGAAGCACATTTTCGAGCACCTGTTAAACTCAAAACATGAAACAAGAGTCCATGACAGGTAGAGAGTCCACAACACCACACAATTCAAGGGTCCTAAGATCACTAATTCACTCAATCAACCAACACAATATGAAGAAGGAATGAGACTTCTTAAATGCATCAACATCCTCCATAATGCTACACTACCTCCCTAGGTTGCATATTACTATAAAGACTGTCAATTCAAAGCATACTGAGCAGGCAATTGCAAGGAACACGTACTTGGAGCCCTCAAATTTAAAAATTTGGACAGTGGACTAGGCTCCAAGCACACAAACAGATCTAATGCAGTCAAAAGATAAACATCCCCCCACACTTAAGATCGACATTGCCCTCAATGGAGAAGAGGGAAGGGAAAGGGGAACGATGTTACCGATATGCACGGACGGCAGGAGACTGGAAGCGGACTGGAGAGAGTACCAGTCAAGACAAGCACAGCCAAAGGAAACCAAAGATCTCAAACACAATATGTTAGGTCCAATGGTCAGCCCAATAAAACATCATCCAAAACAAAAGAAAACATCAAAACCAACTGGTTTACAATCCGACTCAAAACACAAGAAAGAAAATCAAACCGCGGTGGGGTTGCCTCCCCACAAGCTCTTCTTTACCGTCTTTTAGCTGGACGCCAATTGCAGATACTCAGGGCGGTGCAGGAACAGGTGCCTTCAAGAGCGGATCCACGTCGCTCTTGAGGTACAGCTTTAGGTTGTGGCCATGCATCCGACGGATGCGACCACCATCATTAGTCAGCTCGACCTGGACATCCGGTAAGATGCAGGCGAGTGAGTACCCGGACGGCCAGGGTGGTCGTGGTGCAGGAGGTGGGACCAGCTCATAGTGGTCTCCACTGTTCTTCGGTGCAGGCTTAGCAACCTGCTGCTTCGGCCGCCACTCCTCCTTGAGCTTTTTGTTCGGAGGCGAGACTGGATGGAGTGGCGGCGAAGGAATGATAGGAGGATCCTGCAAAATAAGAGGTGCAGAAGGATACACGACATGCTCGTGTACCTGATCAGAAATGGCATGCACAGGTGTGATAGCAATCATAGCACAGTGATCGAATTCAGTCACAGAAAAAGTAGCCTGTTCATTCCCAGCACGCAAGATCAGTTTACCATCATGCACATCAATAAGTGCCTTGGCGGTGGCAAGAAATGGTCTACCCAGAATCAAAGGTACATCCACATCCTCATGTATATCAAGAATAACAAAATCAATAGGATATGTGAATGCTCCTACAGTAACAAGCAGATCCTCAATGATACCCCTAGGATGCACGATAGAACGGTCAGCGAGCTGAATGCTCATCCTAGTAGGGCTAAGTTCACCTAAGTCTAGCTTCTTAAACAACGTATATGACATGACATTTATGCTAGCACCTAGATCCGCCAAGGACTTGCCTACATGCATGCTGCCAATAGTAAGAGGGATAGTAAAACTCCCTGGATCCTTGCGCTTTTCGGGCAGCTTGTTCTGCAGGATAGCAGAACACTCCTCGCTCAGCAACACTGTCGAGAGATCCCCAAGTTTCTTCTTGTTGGAGAGGAGATCTTTCATGAACTTGGCATGCTTGGGCATCTTCGACAGTGCCTCCACGAACGGTATGCTGATGTTGAGCTGCTTCAACATTGCCATAAACTTGGCAAACTCAGTGGGGAAGGGAAGCTTGTCTTTGTGTAAGCGAGTGGGGAAGGGAAGCTGAGGTACATGCTCCTTAACCACTGGTTGTGGCTTGGGAGCAGGGGCTTCTTTCTCCACCCGCACTTCTGCATCGTCGGCTGGAAGTGCTGAAGCAGGTAGTGGTTCCTTCTGTCTGGCCGAGACAGGATCAGCAGATATGGTCTTACCGCTCCTGGTAAAAATGGCATCCAGCTGCTGGAGCTGGTGAGGATCCCGAGGATTCCGGATAGAGGTGGCAGGCAGAGTCCCCGGTGCCTTGGTAGTGTTTTGGCGGGCCAAGATGCCCACCTGGGTCTGCAGATCTTGCAAAATGGCACCCTGGTTCCGCTGACCTGCCTCCAGTGACGTGATAGCAGCCTGAGTGCTAGTCATGAATGAAGCTAGAATATTTTCCAGCTTTGTCATCTGGTCATCTGGGGCAGAGGCTGCTGCTGGCTCGACAAACTGACGCTGGGGCTGTTGGAATGGTTGCCCCTGCCTAGGCTGGTAGGGTTGCTGCTGTGGGGCTGGCCCCTGTCGAGCCTGGAAGGGCTGCCTCTGCTGAAAACCACCTGTTGGTGCTGGGAAACCAGGTGGTTTAGTGGTGTTGCTGCTCCAGGCGAAGTTGGGATGCTGGCGCCACCCCTCATTATATGTGTTACTGTATGGATCGAGGCGCCGCGCATTGGCGATGAAGGCCAACTGCTCCTGGGGTGTGGTAGACTCCCTCATAGCCTGGCAGTCCTCCACTAGGTGATTGGAGCTCTCGCACCACTGACATTGAGCTACTGGAGGTGTAGCCAAACCTCTGCCCGGAATAAGACTGTTGGGCTGCTTCAATGTCTGCACTAGCTCGGCTACCTGCTGCTCGAGCCCGAATCTAGTCTCCATGGCGTGCACACCACGGTCCCGGGACTGTCTGCCTCGGCTACCCTGTCCCCAAGAATGATCTCTGGCAGCCAAAGTACTGATCATCTGGTTCAGCTCGGGTGGAGTCTTAGTAAGAATATCCCCTCCTGGGCATAGAGACTCAATCACCCTCTAGCTATCTGGAGAGAGAGCACTGTAGAAGTTCCCCACTGTGAATGCATCACTGAAGCCATGATGGGGACACTGCCAGAAATAACCCATGTACCGCTCCCATGCATCACAAAGTGACTCATCTGGCTCTTGGCGGAAGTGAGTGATCTCCCGCTGGATCTATGTAGTCTTCGATGCCGGATAGTACCTGTGCACGAACTTGTCAGCCAGATCGTCCCAAGAGGTGATGGACAATGGGGGCTGGGTCTCCAACCACCTCTTAGCATTCCCCGCCAGAGAATGGGGG